TTTTAGAGAATTTTTTTGTACCAACAAAATTCTTCCCTTTTTTAGAGGAAATTACAATTTTAAAACTTCCCCGGTATCTTTTGATGTACAGTTTAATTGTTGCTGTTAAGACCTTGAATCAAATACAGGGTCAGTCGAGAGATAAAACTGATATGTTATCAGATGTACATTAAATGACACGTGTAACAGACTAACACTTCATTACATCAGTTTGCTGGAAAAAAAAAAAAAAGTTATATCCAAATATGGCAAATGTAGTAGTTACAGAAGAGAACCTCAACATATCTATATATACATGAATCTTTATAATGATAATAAATATGCTATCAAATTTATCATAAATCATGAAAACAACTAATACTTTTTCATCTTAGACCTATAAAGGCATTCCCTTTTCTAACTAAAGTGTTAACATGGAGAATGTTTGTACTTGCCTCTTGAGAAGAATAATCCACACACTACTTTCTACAATGACCTCAATTGCAAACTTGATTTTTTATCATGGCAAGTGCTCTGACATTTCCTTTAACCTCTTTAAAGACAGAAAGATGAATAATACTAATCATGTGATATGAATTATCTAGCTATTACAATAACATTATATAATAAAATGAGGTGATTAGAATTTCATACTTATATGAGATTAGTTATATTGTGGCAATATTAAGATGGCTTCCCTACATACATTCAGAAAATACCATAGACTTATAGACTAGTGTTCATAGCTGTTGGCAAAGTTATTAAAACTGTGGTGACCCCACTGGCTTTGGTGTAATTAAAGTTCAAAGGTTGCATCACCAAGAAAACCTCATTATGTAATAATACTGCAAGCTTCCTAGGAAGGGCATTTATGGCGGTGTGTGCTCCTTGTACAATAGGACTGAATATCCCTTAACCAATGTTATTTTTAGTACTAAATATCCCTTAACCAATGTTATTTTCACCCATATGTATTTAACATGCCCACAATCTTTTTTATTTCTAGTTTTAATGGCAACATCGTGATTTTCCGTGTGATTAATCAGAGAGTACGCTAAATTAAATACCGCAAGGGAGGGAAGGTCCAAGGGCTTGCCCTCAGTAAGGGAATATTCTATTGTGGGAAGGTCAGTGATCTGCCCCTGGTAGTGAAATGCCCTAAATAAAGAGGGCCTTGGGACTTGCCCCCAAGAAAAAATGCCCCAGGTAAGGGGTCTGGGGGCTCGTCCCCAATAGAGAAATACCCTAAGGGAAGGTGGTTCATGGGCTGCCCAAGGTAGGAGGATATGGAAGGTGGATGCATCTCCACCTGATTCCCTACAGATCCCCCAAGGTTGAAGGAAGTATGAGAAAAGATATTGATAATAATAAAAAGAGTGGTAGGGATGAGAAAAGATATTGATAATAATAAAAAGAGTGGTAGGGCATTTTCCGTAGAATCATCATACTTTTCAACATCTTTGTAAATCAATATTGGTTATATAGCTTCAGAAGGACAATAATTAATCTGATGTAATGACAGCTAAGAACAGCCATAAAGGTCCAGAAACATAATATTTAAGATCAATCTCTCTCAGGATAATTTTCCTACTGATTTAACTACCAAATTCATTTATATACTTAAATAGGGAGGAAAAGAGAATAGTGTATAGATTTAACTTAAAAGAATGAAAATAATGGTGAATTATTTG